CTGATGGAGCAGATGAACTTGATGTGAAGCAGAGGACAATGAGATAGAGACAAGTACGGAAGATGATACATCCCGTAAAATTAAGAGACTGTTGAATTTTAATTTTGTGTTCGTAAATTCTGTACATTTAATTAAGTTATTGTTAATTATCTATTGGTTTAATGTAATTGGCTATTGTTCAGGACGAACAATACTAAGGAAGGGGCAGTGTTACGACAGCGGAAGTCACGTGACGCTGGTAACACGTCATGAGATTCTAGAAGGATCTTGACTGTTCCTGGCAACTCTAGTCTTTTCTAGACGCCTCTATTTTAGTATATAAGCCCGGCAAATAAAGCGGAGATATAATTGCAGATAGACAAATATTGGGACAGATAATTGAGTCATGCGAGCGGTAGTGTTCGTTAGTAAAGTGTGTGAATCGTTGTGAAATATAGTGTGTGTTTAAGTTAAAGTGACTGTGGTAATTCTGTGTATTGCAAAGTTGTACTGAGAAAGAATAAACTAGTTTTATTTAAGAAAGGACTTGTATTGCTGAAGTTCTTCAGGAAAAATTTATACCAGAAATTAACAAACGACCAGAGATGTAAAAATATTTAGAAACTTAAGATTGTTAATATAGTTATCTATTACTTTTTAAGAAAGATAATACTAGACAATAAAGCATATATTTAAATATGTGAAGAGAGTCCAAACCATTTGATTTTGGGACTTTCTTTTAAACTGAATCTCAACATGCTGATACATGTGTGGCTGTCTTGAGAAGTGATGGCTTAATTTGTAACAGATATATATATATATATATATATATATATATATAACAGATACATTTTCAATAATCATTTTTCCATGCTCAAACATCTGCTAAATTACAAAGAATTGGGGGTTGAGGAATAATCAGAAGATACATACCTGTAGGGTTCTTTTTTTTTCCTGTCTTTTGATGTTACGATCCAATAACTTCTATCTAAACTAAAATAATAACGATAAGAAGATGTATGATGGGTAGCTTTCTTGGATTACCTTAATCCATGACCTAACAAAATTACAAAAAGAACAACCAACAGTATTACTCTTTGATGTCTTATCTCAGAACTAAATGAAAGCTAAAATATTTAACTTGTACGTATCAACATGAGCACTCACAACTAGTTAATTTGCTTTATATTTCATGCTATAGTAAATGAAACTACTTAATCACTCAGAAACATTTAAGTGATTTATCAAGGTTACTTATTTAGCTTTGAGGAAGAAAGCTTTTGGAACATTACTAATTATTGGTTTTGAATACACAACAACTTTGTAAAGTTTTAATTGTTTTCCCTTGGTAGAAAAAATATTTCCATTATAACTTTTTTGATTTTTTAAGCAGTATTGTAAATAGCACACATACACGCTTTATTAGGAAACAATACAATTTTTGTGCACATGTAAATATAAAAATATAAGGTCAATATATCAGTAAGGAAAAAACCTGCTAGAAACATTTATATGAGTGCATTATATATTTCCATTATAACTTTTTTGATTTTTTAAGCAGTATTGTAAATAGCACACATACACGCTTTATTAGGAAACAATACAATTTTTGTGCACATGTAAATATAAAAATATAAGGTCAATATATCAGTAGGGAAAAAACCTGCTAGAAACATTTATATGAGTGCACGAGCCAAACAGACAATATATCATAGTAAAATCCAAACATGGAACATGGTTAGAAAAACCACTACTAATGCAAGGTTCAGCATTCTGTTGACTCCAACATCATCAGGAACAACATGTAAGTGGGTAAATTGCTATAAGTAGAGGTCATGTGATGTTTGGGTGATGTAAGTATAGATGACATCACAATATTGGTTAACAAGAGGCTTCAACTGTGAAATCAACAGAGCTTATATTTTTCTGTGAGTTTCTCTTGATTTCCTTCACACAACTTTGATAAGAGAAAAGTCTATTTCCTTTGACTCAGTTCACTGATGGCCAAATACATTGAATGGGAATGTTTTTTTAGCCACACCCCTAATTCACAGCCAGTTTCCCCTATATAAAAGTAAGAACAAACCTAACTATAAACTTGGTAAGTAAATCCAATTGTACGTCCTTTGGATATTTAACCCAAATAGTTTTTGCCCTAGTTCAATAATGAACTTAATTGGTTGCAGCATCTTATATTTGCTAACAATCTTAACCCAAATTTTCTTAATAGCGGTTGAAACAAACATATTTAAAATTTTTAAATAGTGTTATCTATCAAGTATTCAGAACACCCATTAACTTGTATGAAACATGTATGGAATTGAGAGAAACTCACAAAGCAATAAAAGATACTCTATGGATTTCATACACGAAGTCTTCTGTTGATTGAGATTCTAGTGTCTTCCTATTCCTACATCAATTAAATATTATGACTCATATATATAGTGTTTTTTATGTACCCTTTTCACATTGTTCTTGAGGATGTTGGAGTTAATGTCAATGAAATTTTGAACTCTGTGTTAGTGCTTGTTTTTTAATCATAATCCATTTGTTTTCACCTTTACTACTGATTTTATATTGTAATACCTCCACATTCAATGAATTATCAATCAAGACAGTGAATAAGCCTATATTACTTAGGCATTGAAGCCTACTTAAGTTTTCATATTACATCAAAAGAAATCTTTCCAAAATGTCACTTGTGAAACCTAACACCTATTCTGTTAAACATAGGCACTACAACAATATTGAAAGAAAATACTAGCATCAAACAGCAATAAAAAATGTAAATAATGTATATAATTTAATATTAATAAACTGTTTCTCATCTTTATACAACTTTTACTAAAATATATAAGTATTCCAGTTACATACTATGCTGTAAAATATAAACATACTAATCAGTTTAATGTGTTATTTCTAAACTTCCATCTATGTCAGCTTATGATTTTTTTGTTCTTATAAATAGTGAATCATTTTTTAAAGTTTTTTCAAACTGACGTTGGAATTAGGAAAAAAATCCAAAATATTGGTATTTACAATTTTTCTATTATTGTATTTTAAACATTTCTTATGAAGCTTTTATCTCCATTTTAAGAATCATTTTAATTTCCACAAAGAGATCAATATAGTATTATCAATAGTTTCCTTTTTAATGTATTATATAAATATTATCTATCATACAGTGTGAAAAGAATGTTTATTAGTTTTGTCACATGGAATTTAAAGACAGTGATTTTTAATTATGAATTATTTTAACTAATAATAAACATCTGTTTTCCATAATAATACTATACACTTTTTTTTCTCTCAACCTTAATGACTCTAACTGGTCATGCAGCACTGCTTACTAAACTGATCAAATTTTTTAAAGGGCATATATAAGAGTAATATCAATAAAACATGAGATTGTTATTTTTAGTATTTTTCTGATATAATCAATTCATCAAGTAATGTTTCTTCATCAACAGAAATCCAGTAGGTTTAATAGGGTAGTATTTTGAACATTTATATGGGGAAACCCAAGGAACAATATCTTAATCATACTTTCAGCTTAATGCTGTAGTTTAATCATAAGTAGTTGTATTTATGTTGATTATCATATTAAATGAAGGATAGTTCAAAAAACAGCTTTAAAAAACCCTAACAAGTTGGAAATAAGAATATTAATCTGATGTGAGAACAAATGATTATTAATTTTACTAATTAATAAGTCTGGTGAATATCTGAATGGCACATTCCACTAATCAACCAGCTCTAGCCACAAACCTATGGTATACTCAATAACATCTAACTATCAGTTAAATTAAACTGGGCTTTAAGAAGCCTTGTTTAGATAAGGGTTAAGTTTACAATGAAAAACAACAAAAACCTTTATATCTGAGATTTAATACTATATCCTTTCTAAAGGGATAAAAGGATAAACACATTTTTGTGAGATAATAGGAACCAGCTATACACTCCTTATTTGGCTAGGTGTCAAATTAGATAAATAATGCTTTGGATAAAATAAATTCTACACACTCATTCTGTTGATTACTTTACCTTTTGTTAAATTTTAACAAGATGACTGTTAGATAGCTAATATGCATATTACTTAATAATATATAAATTTATTAAAATATTTTATAAAATCCATTATCACAATACACAAATGGATCAACTATATTGTAGCATTACAATTTTGCATTGGGATTTTGTATTTGCAAGTATTTCAATTATATTATTCAGAAATAAGAATTGAAAGATGTTTTGGATAAGATTTTCTGTGTGTCTAATACCAGTCATTATTAACTAGCTGGCAAGCTGGATCCTTGTTCCTGTCAGACTGACCCTAATGGATGGCCTTGTCTACTGACATAAGGGCAAGGGTATGATTACAAATGATATTCTACATGCACCATTTATCCAGTGTTTAATGGTCTTGCTTTATTCTCAACACACACTGCTCAGCAAATGATTGTATTGTGGAAACCTATTAAAACCCTTTGAGGGAATTGTGGATTGATTAATGTTGCATTCTCAAAACAGAAAAGTCCCCCACCCCACCTAAAAGGCTGTTATTGTTGTTATTTCAACAAAATGCTACAAAATGGGCTATTTCACTCTTTCCACCTCATAGAATTGAACCCCAGATTTTAATTGTTCTTAGAACATAGGAAAAAAGGAAAAATAATTCATGAAGAACATAATAACATTTATTGGTCAATGGTGCTTCAGGAAATCTAGCACAATTTTTTCTTCTCTTGTCTTTTGCTCAATATTATAAATACATGCACTAATGATATGACAGTAAAATGTGGAAATGCACCTAGAAAGATTGCTATATATCAATAAAGTTGTAACACAGCAAATAATTGTTTTAGTGGTGCCAATGACAAATATAATGCTTCACACTGTATTTTTTTCTTACAGATAAACATATTTCAACTTTCAGTGATAGTTTGGATGGTAAAACATATAAAAGACATGGTCGTTGTAGGTGGTCACTGCATGTGATAAACCACAACACATTCAGTCATAACTATGATCCACTTCTAATCAAGGTCTATAGTGAGGAATGTTTTAATATATATTAACATTTATATCACATCTTATATCATTAAAAATTCAGTTGTACAAAAGGGTTGATATTATCTTGCTTACAAGGTTTTGCGTTTCACCTTAATGATAATATGATACCTTACATGATATGTACATTAAATGTATGCAACATTTTAAATTACTTACAATAGACTAAAAATATTATACATATATCTACGATTTGTATCCACACCAGCTACAGTATGTAGAAAATGACTTTGTTTGAAAGGAACTGAATGTTCAAACAATGACCTAAAAGTCACAAATAAAAGGGTTTAATAATAGACAGATATTAGTTAGGTTAATGTTTATGACTGCTGGTGATTTCTATGTACCTTCTAATAATGTGTTAGTGTTATCATTTCTTTTGTCTATATATATTTGTAAATATGGAAACATTTTTAGTATATGAATGTTTTGAATAACAAAAATATATTTTAACTTAGACAAGGCAATGTCAACATCCAAATTATGTACTTTTCATCCACACTATAAGATACTAAGAATATTAGTCTTGAAATATTTTAATTTGAAATAAATTAGCATAAGCAAAACACTGTATCCATTACCATAGTTCTAATGGAATTGCATTATCTGAGAAAGATTTAGCCCACAAAATATTGGATAAGCATAAAAAGAGAGACAGAACCTCTCATTCTGGGAGAGAAGGTGCTGATATTTCCCTCCGAACTAAAAAACTCCATGGTTCACAGATGAAAAGGAGAAGACTGAGCTGGACTTGAGATGTAATTTGAAAAAAATAAAATAAAAAATATCCCAAAAAGAACACGATATTGGATGGGATTGATAACAGACTTCTCCACCTTGATAATCCAACCCATCCAAACAGCTTCTCTGATGAGAAGTTGGATAAATATGGAAGATTCTGCAAAAGATGATGCCATATAAAGATAGTAATTTATGCTGCAAAAATGCATGAATCAGGCAAAATGACCAGACCACTCTATATAAAATGTAGGGTGCCAATGCTAGCCTAAAAGGAAAAGCTCAGAATTGATAAACATGATCCTCATGGATAAAATCTAGATAATGATGTGAAGATAAGCATTGATCACATTGAATCTCATCATCCAAAGGCCTAGAAGAAAGGTCTAACTGAAAAACAAGTAGGATGTCATAGTGAACTGAGGCACATCGAGGAACCGATTCAGATGGGAGAGACTGAAAACAAGACACCAAACCCAGTCTTTTGGGGATGACAGAAAGTCAGGAATAGAATCCTGGAAGCACAGGAGAAACCTGTTCCATGGCACCCTTTATGAGGTCTTCAGCCACTTGTATGAGAGATGCTGGCAGGAAACGGGATCTTGAGGGGAAGAAGGAACTGGGACAGGGGATAAGGTGGGAGGAAAAGGAAGGAGAGCCCTTCTAGCCAAACTCAAATGACACAAGGGTTTGGTGAACAATGATATGCAAGTGCTTGAGCCTCTGCTGTACATGAAGGGGGAGGATACAGCATACTAACTCCTGCATATAATTGATCTGCAAAACATTTGGCATGGATGCCAATATCAGGCAAAGGGGGAAGAAATCAAAATTTCAGAATTAAGTGCTGCACTTAATAAGGACAAGGAGGGATCAAATAACATGGGTGACATAGACAAAACACAACATACTTGAAATATAGTGTCTAAAAAATGGTGACTGAGGTCTAGGTGGTTCAATAGGCTGAAAACATGCCTGCATAGCAAGAGCTATCCAAGTCCGCATCATCCTGCTCTAAGTCTTCAACTGATGGCAGAAGTGCTTGTAGATTGGGAGATCTCTTGGCCTACATGGAAGAAGCCATCTCCCGACAAACTACAACCAACACTTCCTCCTCTAACACTGTACCTGCAGCCATTTTCATGAGCTGTTGAACACCAGTACTATCAGTAACCGTTGTAGTTGTAATAGTAAATTCTGAATTCAAAAATACTGACTGACTACTGGTAACTGAGTAAGAAATAAAATTCACAATCAAATAAAGAAATTGAACTTGTGGTTTATAAACAATACTTTGAATATGTTTAAAATGCACTAAAAAATGTTTGAAATCAAGCAATAGGTCTCAACACTGTATGCCAAATTGAGAAGTGAAGATTGAGTTCAACTGCATAGAGGGAGTCAGCTGCAATAGGAGGGTTTGTCACACTCTTATTGGTGGAGGACTATCACATACTGATTTGCATGCTTAAATGCAGCTGAGCTACATGGTATACCCATGGCATTAGGTGGGAGTTTCAAGGTTAGTTGCAAGCAAAATTTGCGCAATAGAGGGCAGTCAAATCAAGAATAGATGTAATTGTGGCAGAGGTAAGTAATCATATTGGAAGTGCCCTATTTTAGGATTTTTTTATCCACCATCCCGAGCAAACATCCTTAAACAAAATAATCCATGTATACTTTTGGAGAGCTTCAAGTTATTATACTGTTACGACAGTGGAAGGCATGCAACGCTGGAAGCATGCATGCTGGAGTTTCTAGAATGATCATGACTTATCGAGGAACCTCGCGGATGTCTGAGTGTTTGCCTGGCGCTCTCTTTTTTAGCATATAAGCCTGCGGGATGATTGATTGAAGATATAGATAATTGAGTCAAGTGAACAGAAGGCACCGTAAGTAAAGTGTGTGAACCACTGTAATTTATAGCGTGTGTTATAAAGGTTGTTTAGTTTAAGGTGACTGTGGAAATT